CATGGAAAATGAAGTTCCACGGAGATGTTTATATTTACACTGTGGTCGAGATAGAGGGCGTCCTCTGGGACCCCACCCACGGGGGAAGTGTTGGCTCACACACAGCGAATCTGGCTCCGGAAATGCTCGTTTAATCAGAGAGGAGAAATGCACACCACGGAAGGGGTGAGGGAGAGAGCGGCTGGACTCCAGGCCGATTGTTGCTCCATCCGCTGCGGTTTGCTTAGTGGACATGGGAGAGTTGTGTGATAGAGACCCAGCCAGGCAGGCGCTGTGTGGAGCTAATTGGAAGCAGCTGGGAGCAGCGGGAGAGCAGCTCCGCACGTCCGACAATCGCACTCCTGATTGTGGGTGGCCAGGGGCTGGGCCTGAAGGGGATCCACGAATGGCCTTGGTGTCACATGAGGGGCAGAGCCCACACTTCCACTCCTGAGCGGCCTGTTAAATAAAGACGGAGCCGGTCCGTTTCCCGAACGTAATCCACTTGGGGGTCGCTGCCTTTCAACGGGTAACGCTGGTGGACGCTGCTCCCCAGGAGCAGGCAGAGGCGTGGTCTGCCCCCCAAGCCTCCAGTGTGCAGTGCGACGTCTTCAGAACCGCTGTGACGTGGGACCAAAGACAGCGTGGCGGAGCTGGCCGTCTGTCGTAATTAGGAACTGCAGCACCTTGCTGGGCCCCTTCCCCGCCAACAGGCCACGCACGCGATTGCTGGAGCTCCCGAAGGGCAATCAGCAGCAGGGCAGCGAGCCTGGGTCTGTGCAGGCCACGCAGCCTCCAGAGTTCCAGAAACCCACGCGAGGAACTGCACTGTTACCCTGGGAACACACCAACACGATGAACTCCACTGCCTATCAATGAGCCAGACTCCTGAAGTAGGCGTGGTGGCACCTGCCTTGATTCCAGCACTCCAGGAGGCTGAAGCAGGAGGATCACCAGTCCCAGTTAGACCGGGCTACTCAGTGACTTGGCAAGAACTTGTCTCACAGTGGAAAGGGGGTGGACTGGGGCCGCGGCTCAACAGGAAGGCCCTAGGTTCCGCGCCCAGTACTGCCCAGAATAACAACACCCGAGACCCAGCCTTGTGCCTGAATCACCTGTAGATCCTGAAACACCAGATGGAAAGATATTAAAATGACTTCCTGAAATGGAAGAGAAGTCATGAAGAGCCTGCTGTGGCCCTGCTGAGGGAAGGGTGTTTATTAGAGTCCAGGTCCTTGAAATACTTGGCATTCCACAAACAAAGATGGATTAGAAAGATACCAAGAAATGTCAAGCTTCTCTCCCTTATTATACTTTCCTAGTAAAGCGTGGGGCTTCAAAGGGGTCAGAGTTCCACTGTGAAATCCAAGTTTACCAGGAAGAGCCAATAATTTCACTTCTTGAACGAGAGCCCCAGGAAATAATCGAAAGGAAAGTAATTCTGTGCAAAACGACGGAGCACTGTTGGAAACGGGACACCAGGAAACCACGCGTGTACTCGAAGAAGAGAACTGCTGCACAGCCTGGAAGGTAGTGATGAGGCAAAATCACCCAACTCCCAGGACGGCTCGGTGGCTAATGTTGGGGAGCCTGGCAGGGTGGAAAGGGAGGCAGCAGGATGGGATCAGTGAGAGGGAATCCAGCCTTTTCCTGGCAGGGCAGCTCGGGGCCTTGGAGTCCCTGAGGTACCGGCATGTGGAAGGGGGCCCCTGCCCTCCTCCCTAGGCCCCAGGGCAGGTAGGCCCGGGTTTCTGAGTCCAGCCTGACACCCGCTGCACCTGCTCTGGGTCAGCTGTGTCATCACTGGGAATGATCCGGCTCTCAGGAAGATGCAGAAGCAGTCTAGCAAAATCCGATCAGTCAGGATTCCACTCAGCACTGCGAGGCACTTCCCCAAAGCAGCGGTTTCCAAGGTCAGAATGGGTGCATGGGATTGCAAGGCAGGAAGGAACACACTGAGGGAAAGCGGATTTCTCGGGCAGCCAGACCCCGATCGTGTGGAGACCGACACAGGTCGTACACATAGCTGTCAGAGCCACGCGATTATGATAACAGGAAGAGTCCTGGCAGGAGCCACAGACCATTAGTCTGGTGACCCAGCAAGCTGGATATGGTGGCGCACATCTGGATGCCAGCTCTCAGGAAGTGGAGGCAGGAGGGTCACTCCCCGGTGAGTTCAAGGCCAGCCTGGACTACGTAGCAAGAGGTGTCTCAACCTGCTCCAGTCGGCTTAGCACCTGTCACAGCAGTACCACAGCAACAGACGTGCACAGCCAGTGGCACCAGAGGGGGATGGGCCCTGGGACTCTGCATTTTCTACACCACCTTCACCCCAAATAATAAAGTCTTTATTAGTGTTTTATTAATCTGTGATTTGTCAATTAATTTAATAGAGAGCACTTCCTCCACCCTGCATCTCGATGCTGCCCTGGGAGCCACTCCCAGCAGGTGGGAGGAGACACAAGTCCAGTTCGGCCGAGCCCCGTCCTGCCCCTGCCCCTGGGAAGTCTCACTGCACTGTGTGCCTGAGGACTCAGCAGGCAGCGACAGCAGCTCTGTCCCTGGGGCCAGTGCTCACTGGTCCCAGGTCCACGGACTCTCGGGGGTCTGGGCCATGCACACAACTCTGTTTTCCTCATTTACCTCAGGGTTCCCATGGCAAACACCTTCTTAATTTATTTTGGCTAGAGCCCTTCGGACACATATTTTTAGATTATTAAATCAACATTTGTCAGGTCAGATTCTTAAGAAATTATATGAATATTTAATTTATATAATTATATATTTAGGCAACTCTTAACTAGGTTGATAGCAAGATTAACAGTTGCTTTGAGTGACGTCAGTCAGCTAAGTGCACGTAGTGCCTCAGCATCACAGATCTCGGCACAGGGACTTCCAGCATGCGAGGGGCAGGGCTGTCTCTGCCAGTTCCCAGGGTGTGATTACCCCATGGCGATGGTCTAACAGGAGGGAGACCGAGCACAGGACACCAAAGTCCATCCCCACTGCTGTATAGCACACCAAGTCCCGGGCCTGAGCACCAACCGCCCTCGGGATGGTAAAGCCTGCACGTCCAGTGCTCACACACAGTGGAGACAGCATGGAAACATCACCTGCTACTCTGGAGAGTACAATCCTATGTATCACTTGCAAGTTACAAATTCATGACTTGACCAAAACAGAACTGCACTTTGCAAAAAATCGTCAGTTCCAAAGGAAGTCAAATAGCATGTAATCCTGAGATCCTCCCACACCTTTCTCTCAAACTTCACTTTTGTTCTAACCAGCGAGCTGAGTGCTGTTGCAGCATTGGTGCAAGAGTGGGTGGAGCTACCCAGAGCAGTGCTGCCAAGGAATCCTAGCCGCAGACTTTGGGTACAGGAAATGGCTGCTTTCAATCTGGGCTGAGGTAACTTCCGGGGTAACTTCCGGGATGCCTGGTTAAAAGGTGTCCTCGAGGCCCTGATTCCGAGAACCAGGCCCCTCTGTGGGGAGAGGACCACCCAGCTCCCTGCCAGGGTGATGACTCGCAGCTTCCTGGACAGCAAGTCACCCTGGGATGGTCCCAGCTGTTTACAAACTCCTCTCTTCAGTTGATCCCAAATCTGTGTCCCTCTCAACGTCATTCATTTGTCTCAGCTCTAGAATTGAGCCAGGAGAGCCCCATCCTTTCCCAGGTCACAGAACCACTCATCTGTCCTCTGTGCTCCACACCTCCAAGTACGCAGCACAGATTCGAGCTCCGGGCTTTGGGACCTACTCCCCTGCACCCCAAATCCCAGCGATGCCCCCATGTTCCGAGTGGCTGGGTGGGGGCTGACTGGTTCCTGACTTGGGACACAGGGTTTACTAATGGACTCCAGCACCCAGCACCCAGGCCGCTCTGCCTGGCTCTGGTGTGCACTGGTCCAGCAGAACACCCGTATCTTCCTCACACTTAGGTCATCCATGTTCCCACTCCACCAGTCATGCTGCCTCCAGGAAATTATATCCACACCAAGAGCTGATGAGTTTCCATAGGATGGCTGACAGACAAACAGACTAAGAGGGAGTGTGGACTTTGACCTACACTTGAACCCAAATTCTATTTTTCCATGAATTAAAAGCTGATTCTATTACGTATCAATGAGCTGCTTCGGATGGGTGGACAATGAGGTGAAATTCCATCCTATTCCAACTGTGTGTTCAAGTGGGTTTGTTCAGGGCAGCACAAGGTAGGTTTCTGAGGAAAAAAGGGAGCCCTGACTGTCACCCATTTGAGAATCAGTGGGAAGACCTTCAGGTCGGAACCACAGGTCAACACAGGCTGCACTCGGACGTGGTTCACCCAGCACTGGTTTTTCTGACTGCGGCCGACAGACTCCCTGGCCCCTGCTCGACGCCTGATGAGGCTGAGCTGAGTGACGAGTGACCATGGGTGAAGAGCACAGCACTCCTGTGTCTTGGCCTCACCCTGGCCGTCCTGCCTCCCGTGGATCGAACTCAGCTTTGGTTTTCTCTTTATGGCTGGCAGAGTGTTGCAGAAGGAACTCAATCATGGAGGGAACGTGAGCTCAGAGCACAGAGAGGCATGGAATGAACTAGCCATGCCCGACAGGACACCAGGCTTTCCCTGCTGCCTTCAGAGTGGTTTTCAACCCACCAGAGCTGCTTTCCAGGCAACCTTACCAGGCGCTGTACACCTCAAGGGGGCACCAGTGGGGCTGTGACTGGGAGAGCCCTGCCCAAGGTCCCTGACACAGACCTGGCCTCCCCAGGGGGCAGGCAGTGGCCTGAGCGCAGGTTCCGTGCCAGGTGGAATCCAGAGGGGAGGCCTGGAGCCCAGGGCGGGAGGGTGAGAATGGGCAGCACTGGGCACACTGCCTCTGTGAAGGCCAGCAGCAGTCCTGCCTCTCCCAGGCTCAGCAATTCTTAAATGCATGAAAATGTTCCCAAACAGCGAGGTAGGCAGGGACCTGGCTTTTCTGCAAGTTGGGGAAAATCAAACCACTTCCTTAGGGATGGGTGAAATCATGGCTTACCGCTGAGAATCCAGCATCTGCTTCAACTAAACTGGTTCACTGTAACGCAGGCCAGGGAAGAGCTTTAAACTGCAGTAAGAAGCCCTGCGAGTCCAGGAAGAAAGGCCAGGAGTCAGGCGTCCGGGAAACACCCACCCCTGGGTCGAGGGGAGGAGCAGCTGGACAGGACAGGCAGGGCAGGCACCTCCTGCTGGCATTCTCCAACCTTCTGGTTTCCACTGCAGCCTCGGCCGCCTGGCCTGACAGCTCGAAGGCAATTACATAACCGCTCTTCCCCAGGGCATAGCAGAAAGGGGACAAGGACAGGCGGGTGTGGCCCGAGGCGCCCAGCCTCCAGCCCTGGCACCAGGGAGTGGCTGCTCTGCTCACCAGCCCCACCTCAGGCCCCTGCCCTTGGTGTACACTGAGCTGGCTGCTGAGACGGGCCCTGCTGGGTAGCGCTCTGTGAACTCCCAGATGGGAGAAACCCGGGGCGGCAGGCAGCTCCAGGCCCGCAGAGCTTCTGCGGGCACCGGGAGCTCAGCTGGTGCACAGCAGACCAGAGTCGCCCCAGGTCCAAGCTCTCTGTCCCTGACCAGGCGTGGCTTCACTTCCTGAGATCCCTCCCGGCCCCAGACACTGGTCAGTTTGTGGGGAGAACAGGCTGCCATGTGTCGTCACCCAAACCTGGAGTAGAGTATCAAGCCGTGTTGGGGACCACGGGGCCTTTTCTCAAGCACACACAAATCAGGCTGGGAAATGGAGATGGCCTGCCGAGGAAGGCATGAGTCCCTCGGCCCAACACTTTCTGCCAAGGGCGCCGAAGGGTCAGGGTGCTGCTTTCAGAGCCAGCAGGGGAGCGGCCCCCGAGCCAGAGCTGCTCACAACGCCACGGTCTTGGCGACGGGGCTCACCCACTCCTGCCTCAGCTGCAGGGGCTCCCACAGCTGCACCTCAGAGGGGCCACAGTTGATTCCACCTGGCTACCTCCCTCCCCAGGTCCCTGGAGTCCACACAGTGGGACTTGAGGAGGCCAGCAAGAGCCACGGTTCCACTCACTCCTGCTGATCATCAGCAGAATGACCGTTCTGAAAACTACTAGGAAAAGTCTGGCTCCTGAAGAGCCTTCCAAAAGGGCTCCAAAGTGAGGGACACAGACAGGGCCACTAAGGTAAGGACCGGGCACACAATCAAGGCATGGGCTCAGATCTCTCTCATCTATCACCTGTCTGTATCTATCATCTATCAATCATCTATCTATCTGTCTATCTATCTATCTATCTATCTATCTATCTATCTATCTATCATCTATCTATCATCTATCTACCATCTATCATCTATACTGCGGATTGAACCCAGAGTTTTTGGGCTGGGCTACATCTCAGTCTTTTTCCTTTCTTTTTTATTTTGAGACAGGGTCTTGCTAAGTCGCCAAGTTGCTGCAGATGGGCTTGAACTTGGGACCCTCCTGCCTCAGTTTCCCAGGATGATGAGATCAGACATGCACCGCCAGGCTTGTTTAATTCATGCTAAGTTGTGCCTAAAGAAGGAAGACTTCGGTTCCTCCTGCAAGCTTGGAACTGGCTGCCTGTGGCCAGTGTCACTCAGCTGAAGGAAGGGGCCATGGCTCCTGGGAACCCTGCAGTGTGAGTGGGGCCAGACCATGGCAGTGCTGTGCTCGCCTGAGGGAAGAGGCTGAACTGTCTCTGCATAGAGGCCCAGGGAAAGGTACTGCCCAGGCTGCTCACTGGTGATGAAGGAACTCATGAGGGAGCAAAGGCCCTGAGGCCATGGGACGACTCTGCCAGGGCCCTGGGTCCCCTCCAGAGAGCTGGCTGCAAGCTGGGCCCATGAGCAGCTTGAGACTGGGGTCCAGAACAGACGGGCTGCTGTGCCCGCCACAGACCCGGAAGACACGGCCTCAGCCTCCTGCAGGATGGCGCAGGGGCCACAAGGGGACGGGTCCAGATGGGAGCCGTGGGGCTGAAGAGCATGCAGAGCCTGACACTTAGCTCCAGGGCTCACCGGGCGGCACAGTTGGTCACCAGGCAGTGGGCAGGTGCAGAGGTCAGCCCGGGAGGGAGGCAGACGACAGCCTAGAGGACCTCAGGGGACTGCGGTCAGGCCGAGACTGCAGGCAGAAGGCAGGTGCCGGGCTTGCCTCAGACCTCAGCAGAGGGGCAAGGCGGTGCACTGCAGGAGGGGCCCACTCCAGCCACCCCAGGGCTGCAGAAGGACCTCGCCTCCTTCCAGGGCTGCTCCAGCCCCAGAGACCCGGTCCAGCCCTGGGGCAGCTGAGTCCTCAGAGCTGTGTGCCCAGAGATGAAGGAGAGAAGGAGAGGGTGGTGGCTTGGCAGGAAGCATGGGGCAGGGGATTCTAACCCTCTTCAGTTACACTCACACTCTGTTCCTCCCGGGCTTCTCCGGGTGCTTATCAACTGGAGAGTTCTGTGGAGAGATTGGTGTTCCTAAGTCTATTCTATGAAAGTGATGTTTTAGTTTGCAGTGTTGATGGACCTCATTCTCTTGCTAACTGGAGTGTAAAAGCCCTGTAATACTATATTGCAATAGCAAGATGGAAATGCTTCACCTTGTTAGGCATGAATATAAAAAGTAAATTGCACGTTCATTTATTTTAAATGATTGAATTATTTAAAAGTAGTATTTGGAGCAGGGTGTGGTAGCATATGCCTGGGAGGCTGAGGCAGGAAGGTCAAAGTTCTAGCTCAGCCCAGGAAACTCAGTTAGACCTTGTCTCAAAATAAAAAATAAAATGAAGTAGCTCAGTGCAAAGGCCCTGGGTTCAGCCCCAGTACAGCAAACAAAGAGAGAGAAGGGAAAGGAAGGGAAGGAGAGAAGAGGGGAGGGGACCAAAGGGAAGAGGAGGCATCCTGGGCTTGGCACTCCCTCAAGGATGTAACTCAGGGCATTCACCCATCATCATTAAACAGTCTGTGCCAACCGAAGTCCTCTTGGAGACCTGGGCTGGTGCTGTGTGATCCTCTCCTGGCCAACAGTGTCTGTGCCATTCAAATCCTTAGCCTCACCCCAAAGAAGGCAGCTTAGGTTTGGAGTCATTTGCTTTGTTTGAGTCTTGACATGGATGGTGCACCCAGTGGCGCTGAACATCCACACCATCCCCGTGTGGCAAAGGCCTCCTCTCAGAGCCACTTGGGCAGCAAGAGACACAGCCTGTCTATGAACAGATGCCCTCGCTCTACTAGTCAACTGGAAACAGACAAACCACTTTACAAGCAACCTGGGAGGCCCTGCTATGCTAAAACGCACACGCAAGTGCACACATGCATTACCAAAGGGAAAGGTCAGTGAGTCCCAGATCACCAAGCACCTGGAGGCCATCCCAGCTGTGTGTATCTAATCCACCCACTCCAGCACCTCGAGAGGATGCAAGTACACACGGGGCTCTTACCACAGCCCATGGCACCACTGGGCCTTGACACCAACACCTGTCACCATGACTATACCTTGTCCCAGGGCAAGGCGGGTCATTAAGGAAGCTTACACATCTCTTCCAGTGCTGATGAATACTGGGGGCCAGCATGACTATTTTTGAGCATCAACACTATTAGCAAAACAATTTTTGACAATATTCCCCTAAAAAGTAATGAGTTATTTAATTGTGATGAAGACAACTGGCATATTCATACACACTGAACATTATAAAAAACACAAGTGAGGAGGTAAAAATTAAACAGAAGCTATGTATCTTAGTTACTTTTCTCGTAGCTGAGACAAAACACTCAACACCTAAGGAGGAGAGGTTTATTTGGTTCACAGTTTTCAGAGGTTTCAGTCCAAGTCAGGGAGGATGGCAGAGGGGAATCTCAGAGGAGAAAACAGTCTTTTGCAGAGCAGGCAGGAGTCAGCAAGCAGCAAGCAGCAAGTGACAACAATAGCCCTCTTTTGTCTCTTTCACTCATCACTAGGGTGGGACACCCTTATCCTACCCAGAACTATACGAAACAAATCAGTGGACTAATTTGGTAATCACTCACCCTAGATCTCAGCATCACACTTTAGATCCAGCCACTTCTTCAAAGCCCCACCTATGACTGCATGAGGCTTTGGGGGACATCTAGACACAAACCGTAACACTATGGTATTACCCTTCTGCTCCCCAGTGAACTATTTTTCTGGTTTGTGAATACTTTGGGAATTTTTATTTGATTATCTTCTAGTCACCCATTGCACAGGTCCTTGGGCCCCAATTATAATATTTTAAAAGCACTGGGCCAGAACAAGTACACACAAAGTATTTCCACTTGAACATTTTGATTGACCGTTCTTGGTTTCTCTTTTCAGGGTATTTTTACAAAGCAGCAGTTCTGTATGATGACACTCATACTGGTACAGAGTAAGCCTGCAAGCATTTCAGAGGGATACATCTCCCCACCAAAACCACTGATCAGGGGAGCGGCCCAGTCCTCACTCTCAGGGATGTCTGAAACTGGCTCCGTGTGCAGTGTGGCCTCTCAGGAGTAACCCGAAATCCTCTAACATGAAAAGTGATGCGTGGAGTCAACAAGATCTCATAGGAGCTGAGAGCAGAACAGTGGGGCACAGGGAGTGGGCCCAGGAAGGGTCAGGCTGAGAATGCACGGTGCACCTGCAGAAGGGCAGGTCGGGTCGAGCAGTGTGATGCTGGGGTGGTGCTTGGACCGATTTCCTGGATTTGACGCTGACTCGATGCACTCACGCACTGAAATATCACAGTGTAACCCACATCTATGTACCTTACTATGGGCCAATGAAAGGTAGAACACAGATTCTTTTCAAAAGCAGACTTGCATACCTGGTTGTTCTGGGAGCTCCCCCCAGCCAGCCTCGTATAACTAGGACTCTGGCAGATCAACCTGGCCTCGCATGGGCCTGGACCTGCAGGACCCCGGTGAGGCAGAGCCCAGGGCTGGCCTGCAGCCCGTTCTCCTCCCAGCTGTTTCAGCTCCCTGGGGATGGTGCTCTTAGCATAACAGCCCAGCTGGAATGGCCACATTACTGCAACTTTCCTCAGTCAACTCAGTTATTCAGGACACGGCCTGGTAATGTAAATGTAAATCTAGGGCAGACCTTTTGTAACTTTCTGTGTTTCACACAATGTCTTAGACATAGGAAGAGTAGGACTTGAGCTGGGTATGGTGGTGCACACCTGTAATCACAGCACATTGGAAGGATGAGGCAGGAGGATCTCAAGTGTGGGCCCAGCCTAAGCAACTAAACAACTTCAGATATTGTCTCCAAGTGAAAAAAATTA